TCCATTATTTTTAGTATAATTAATTAATTATATATGTATATTAAAAAAATTTATAATTTCAGTAGAATTTGAATTATTAAAATTCCTCACAAAGTTCTTTAAAGTTTCTAATTAAATTCATTCAAAATTGAAATTTTATAAAATTTTAAATTGAAATCTTCTGAAATTTATCTATTTATGAAAATTGTAAACGCAACTCTTTTAAAATTCAATTAATTTTGAAATATTTATGTAAAATAAATTATTCATTAAATAATTTACAAGTAATAATTTTGTGATAGCTCTTGTAGAATTAAGTTATTTAAAAAGAAATTATTATCAGAAATAGAAAAAATTTCAGGTTTGTATTAGAATTCGTGGTAATTTCATAGTTTATGAGGCAAACAAAAAAGACGCCAAAATTCAGAATTTTCTTATGAATTCTAAAAATTTATTTTTTCCAGTACTTTTAATAAAAATTGCTGCCTTTTCTCTGATTTCCCTGACTAATTCTACTTTTTCTGATTCTGAGACTCTTCCCTGAATTCTCTGACCTGTGGCAACTCTGAAAAAACTAAACAAATTGCAACGACTCTCAAAAGATTTATTCTTGATTTATACATTCCTGTCTAAAAATTCTTAAAATTAAAATTTTATTTTCTTAAAATGCCTGTTTAACTAAATATTTTTTATTTCAAATTTAAGCATTTTCTTCTTGAGGGTATTAACGTATTTCAACAAAACAGTCTCTATAAATTAAGACCAATATGTCTGTGTCAGCTATATTGGATCCGCCATTTTGAATTTTAAAAAACCGACATCAGATTCGTAATCAGCGACCCCAAAAACCCCAGAGTAACGAATTTCAAGCGAATCCGATGAATTTTTCAAAAACGTGTCCGCCATAGTGGATCCGCCATTTTGAATTTTTGAAATCAGACTTCAAATTCGTAATCAGCGACCCCAAAAACCCCCGAGTAACGAATTTCAAGCGAATCCAATGAACTTTTCAAAAATGTGTCCGCCATATTGGGTTTTTGAGGTTATGTCAAAATCCTGATCTGATGGGGTTAAATGGACCTCGGATTCGGATTCTGCGACCCAAAAACCATAAAGTCTACATAGTGAGACCCCCAGATCAGAACTTTTTTTTGTGGCTGTGTAATTAGGGGTGTTTTGCGGAAGCAACAATAATTTTTTATAAAAAGTCGTTTGTGTTTTTTCTATTTCATTAAGATATCTGAGGCCCCAAATTTGAATTGCATAAAAAAAAGGTGCTACTAACTAAAGAATTAAATAGTTTCGGTATTGAATCCCACGAGTTTAGCTCCATTCGGTTTATTACTGATATCGTAGAGTTCGCCGCTAATGCTGCGGACGAGGTCGCTTGTCTCAAGGTCTCTCCCGAATATGCTGTATATGTTTGAGAAATTTTCAAATAAGTGTAACTTTTTACAATATCGATTTTCTTATTCCCATACATAAATTTGATTTTTTTCTTTGATGTACGACCCCCTTTTTATAAATAATGATTTTTGTTTTTTTCTCATTTACCTCTAATTTATTTTTCATACAGTATTTATAAAAGGCCTTTAATATTTTTTTTAATGCTGCAGGAGAGTCCGCGAGCAATACGATATCGTCCGCATACCCAAGCAAAACAATTTCGTTTTGATGTCCCATGGATATCCCTCTTATTCCTTTTTCCCTCAAAAATTCCTCCAAATCGGATAAAAAAAAGAGAACAAGATCGGGCTTGTTCTAAAAGTTATATTATTATATTATTGTTAGTAGTACAATAAATGATCATGGGAAGGTGAAGAATTGAAAAATTCAATGTATCGTCAAAATTGCGACGTTTCGTTGGCTAAGGTTTGGCAACCTCATCAGGCTAAATTTATTTAAACAGAAAAACACTTCAATATTAATAAAGGTTTAAAACAACACTATACACTATACTGAAAATATGTTTAAAGAATATCCTACCAGATTCGTTAAAACATAAAAATCGCGTTCTAACTCGTCAATATAAAAAAAATTTCATTGAGAAAAAATATTTTTTTATAACAATTTCCACATATATCAAAATTAAAAATGAAAAATTTCTTCATGTGAAAGAAAGACATTTCAGCACACTAGTTCAGTGTCAACTGAAATAAATTAAAATTTGCTATTTCGAGAAAGTCAAAAGAATCAAGATAAAGAAAAAGTCAATGAACTGAATGTAAACACAGTTTTATCATAGAGAGAGCAAGTTGTGTTATTGTTGTGTCATTATAGACAAGAGAAGAGGAGACGTCTGAGAAGAGGAAAAAAGGTTCTGTTTAGAGTGAAAATATCTTCCTTCCTATTAATAGTGGAATGATTTGTTTTTATATGGATCATTTCAGATATTCGTCGTTTTATAAAATTTGGTTCATTGTCTAAAATTTTGACATTTTCCCAATCAAAGTCATGATTACAATTAATTCGATGGCGGTAAACTACAGAGTTATCATTTACTTTTTTATGTTCATTTATGCGACTTAACAATGACCGTTTTGTTTCACCTATATATGTTGCAGGACAATCTTTACAGTCAAACTTGTATACAACATTTGTTCTGTCCCATTTTTTAGATGCATCTTTACCAAGTCTAATTATAGAATTGGAGTTTTTATTAATAAGTGGAATCGCAGTAAAATGAAACTCTTTGAGAATATTTGACAACTTAAAGAAACATTTTTCATTAAACGGTAAACAAACCTTCGGGATTTGACTGTAAATACTAATTTTATTTCGATTATTGTTATTATTATTATTAACCTGAGAAAATTTTATATGGTTTGTACGAATTTTTATATGTTTATCAATAAAATCCAAAGGATAGTTATTATTTTTTAAGATGGATCTTATCTTCTTTAAGTTATCAAAATGAAACTCTTTGTTGGACAATGAAATCGCTCTATCAACCAGATTGTATACAATATTCTTTTTTTGTTGGATTGAATGATCTGAAAAATAATTAATGAGTGTATCCGATGAAGTCGGCTTTTGATACCAATTTGTGACAATTTTGTTGTTTTTTCTAGTAAGTTTTAAATCAAGAAAATTAATTGAGTTATCCTTTTCTTTCTCAATTGTAAATTGTAATTTTTGATTGTAGGCATAAAAAGTATTGATGACTAAGTTGCCATGTTCTTTTTTTACAGCTAATATTGTGTCATCAACATATCTAAAATAAAAAAGGGGAACACAATTGTGCTCCTCCTTTACTTTTGTTAAACAATCAGTTTCCAGATCATCCATGACAATGTCTGAAACGAAGGCTGAAATTGGTGAACCCATTAGTGTACCATAAATTTGTCGATAGAATTTTTCACCAAGAGAAAAATAGGTGTTGTTAAAAACAAATTTAGTACAGTCGATAATATCTAAGAAAGGAATCTTACATTTCTGTCTTATAGAATGAATACGTCGATCTAAACTCTGAATGACCAGTTCACAAGAAACGTTTGTAAACATAGAACTTACGTCGAGAGAAATAAAAGTATAGTTATCGTCCATAACAAGATTTCTCAGTTTATTTTTAAGTTCTAAACTATTATTAATATGTGAACGAGGTAGAGTAATACAATTTTTTAATGAATTATACAATATTTTTGCAAGAAAATGTGTTGGACTGTTTATTAGAGATATAATTGGACGAAGTGGAACATTTTCTTTGTGTATTTTTGGAAGTCCATATGCCTTCGCTAATACAGTGTCAGTCAGGGTCAATTGATTGGGATGGTAGTTTTTGTCGAGAAATTCATTTTCATTCAGATATTTTAAAATGCTTGATGTTTCTTTGATTAGTTTTTTAAGCGGATTCTTTTTTATAAGTTTGTATATTGACACGTCAGAAAACATATCCAACATTTTTTTATTGTATTCAGACTTTTTTATGAGTACAGTCACGTTGCCTTTATCGGCTGGAGTGAAAAAAACATCAGGATTACTCTTTAAAAAACTTTTTGTGCTTTGTAATTTTTTAGCAAATGACCTATCTTGGTTTTTAGAAAGATTTTTATTATTTAAATTATTTAACAGGACATCAGAAAATTTTCCCCTTAAATTATTCTTTGAGTTTTCATTAACGTCAAGTATAGATAAAGAGGACTCCAGGTTTTTAATAGAATTTACAACATCTTTTTTGCCAATGTTTTCTGTAAAACAGAAATTAGGGCCAAGAGATGCAACTTCCACCACTTCTGAAGGAACTTCAATATCAATATATCAATATCAATATTATAATATTATTCAATAATATTATAATTATTGAACTTCTCTTAAATTTTTATAATATTTTAAATTTCTGAATGTTCAAATAATTGTTATTTATTTATTTTTTGAGCAAATGAAATTTTTATTACTTATTAAGTACATAATTAATTAACACTGCTTATTATTTTCAAAAATTTTAATAAAATTCTTTGCAAGAATTTAATTATTTTCATAAATAATTACATTCTTTGGAAGGATTTAATTACTTTTATAAATAGTAAAATTTTTTGCACAAATTCAATAAATTATAGTATCAATACATTTTAATAAAAATGAATTAATCAAATTTTCAATTATAATTATAAATAAACAGACAAGATTTTTTTAAAAATGGAAAAAATTCTTTGTTTAATTCAATTATTTTCCCAATTTTTAATAAAAACTATTAAAAAACATTATTTTCGAAAAATTTAAAGAAACTCGTCAAAAGAATTTAATTATTCATAAAAACTTTTGAAGCCATTTGTAGGTTTATTTACGTTTGAAATCAAATAAATTTGAATTTGATGAGAAAAAAACCGAGAAAAATTAGGACAAAACCGGGAAATAACCGAGAATTTGTTCAACTTTCGTTCAACATAGTAGATACCCTGAATAAATAAATAAATAAATAAAAAATAAAATAAGTAAAAATTTAAGAAAGGTTGTGGAGAAATAAATAATAGTAATTAATTAAATATATTGAGAGTGATAGGTGAAAAATCGTATACTTACAGATGAGACCAAGGACAAAGCGGCACTCAATAGAGGAAGATGATGGAACTGAGCGTCGTCGTCACAGCGAGAACAAGAGTGAATGCTCAAAGAAGATGACATCTATTGGCGAAGATCAAGTCGATTTGTCTCAAACTTATACCGGATTAGACAAAAGAATTTCCGAGGAATTCATATCCATCGCAATGGATCCATCAAGCCATCACGGAAGTGAAATCGCCTCCAGCGCTGTTAATATTAATAACAATGTACACTGAATAAATTAACATTCAACTTTCGACTTATTACACAAAGAGAAAAAAACAAAACTTACTGACAAAAAAATTGCGACTCTTTACAAAAAAATATTTTCCATTTAAAATGACCAATGAACACGAACACTTATACATTACAATAGTAATTTATAATCTCGAAAAACATTTTCTTCTCTCATCTCTTCTTCGTATTATGTAATTAGTTACCTACCATAAAATTGTAAAGGGGTCAAACCATTATATTTCAAATAAAGTCGTTGCGGCCTAATTTTGAAAAAAATTGATACTTTTAGAAATGAATCTGTATGATCTCTGGAGAACAAAATGAAAAGAATTATATTAAAATATTTAATACTTTTCTTAAAATATGAGTGTAAAGTGGAGAAGGTGCAAAAAAATGGCACTTTTTTAGCAAATAGAAAATATTTAAAAAAGTATAGAAAAATTCTTAAAAGTGCAAAAAGATTTATTGATTCATGTTTAAAATTAGTTGGTTAATTATTCTTTAATAATAAAACTAGTAAAAGTATAAAAATAATAGATAAAATATGTTTTTAAAGTCGATCCGCCAAATAACCTGATTTTGGCGTCTTTATCAATTAATTACGAGAAGGTGAAATTATTGAATTAAATAAAAACTCACTGAATATAGAGTATTATTATTATTATTATTATTATTAACTTTCAGGATTTCTTATCACTTTTTTAATTTTTCCTTCAAATATACAAGAAATATTGAGTTTAAAGTACGCGATTTCTCAATTGTTGCGTACTTTACAACTTAATAACTCCGTTAAAGAAAAATAAAATAATTTGTCATTTCACAACTTCTAAATCACAACGAAATCTATACATACAAATTTTTCGTTTTGGTCTCGGGTCTAATTTAAAAAATATAAAGGTTTAAAAATTGCATACTTTTTCAGGTTAAAACTAATTATTTCTTTCTAATTAAAATTGGTTTCTTGTTGTTAATCACGTTCCGATCATAGTGTTTAAATTAAAAGCCAACTTTAATTAGAAGAAAATAAATAGTTTTAACCTGAAAAAGTTTGAAATTTTTAAACGTGACATTAGTATTTTTACATGGGAAATTGCGTGACAGGGGGGAGGGGGGGACTAAAATTCCGAAAAATTGCGTGACATCATTTGTGAACGCTCCCATATTCGGTGAGTTTTTATTTAATTCATTAATTCCAACGTCTCGTAATTAATTGATAAAAACGTCAAAATTAGGTTATTGTGCGGATCGACTTTAAAAACATATTTTATCTGTTATTTTTATATTTTAACTAGTTTTATTATTAAAGAATAATTAATCAACTAATTTTAAACATGAATCAATAAATCTTCACTGCAAAAACAAGTGTCTCATTTTAAGACGTTTTGTCCCCATATTTGAAACACATAAACGTCTTGTGTCCACATATTTAAAACAGCTATGTGTCTCATTTTAAGACGTTTCAAAGTGTCTTATAAATTTAGCAGTGCATTTTAAGACTCGAAATGTGTTTCGAGTATCCGTCTCATACTAAGAACACGTTTTACGTGTCTTATACGCATTGAGTCGCACCTTTAATGTCTTAAAATGAGACACGAAATGAAATTGAATGTCTTAATATAAAACAGATTTTGTATCTCAATGGTTTAAACACTTAAAGCAACTCATTTTAAGACACGAGTGAGATACCAGTTTTTGCAGTGTTTTTGCACTTTTTAGAATTTTTCTATAATTTTGAAAATATTTTCTAATTGCTAAAAAAGTGCCATTTTTCGCACCTTCTCCACTTTACACTCAAATTTTAAGAAAAGTATTAAATATTTTAATATAATTCTTTTCATTTCGTTCTCCAGAGATCATACTAGACTTACCAAGGCATTTTTAAGGATTTGACTATTTTTTTGTAGTTAAATAAATAATTTTTTCAGTAACAATTAATAGGTCACCTTTCGACCTTTGTAGAGTATAAATATTTCCGTCTTCGATATTGTGCGTTCAATAGACTGTGTATATATTCTTTCAATATGTTGTTACATTGATGTGTATACTTAATTTCCAAATGTACTTAAAAAGACATATTGCCTGCAAGATAAGGCAATAATTTTTATATGGATCAAAAATCTCTGAAATAAAAAAATTGTATTCTTATCGAGATAAAAACAGTTTTTTTAAAAACGACTTGCGTTATTAAGTAATTAGACACTATTTTTTCAAATACTGATTTACAATTATGTCGAATATGTGTTTTTGCGAAGTCTTTTTTTAATCCTGTGTGTATAAAAAAAATTCTAATTGTATATATTTTATTTACTTACAATTAATATATTGTTGCTATTAAAAACGACTTCTGTGGAATTATTTGCATATTTCTCCCTTTGATTCTTTCTTCTTTTTATTTGTCTAAACAACCTCTTGTATAAGCTGTTTCTTTTTTATCTAATGATTTTAATCTGATGATCTTCAAGTTGGTACAGTAAATTTCTTCTCCTGAATTGATTGTCTACAGTTAGCATTCTTATTGTAATTCGCCTTTTCAGACAGGGTCCAAGGATATCCAAGGCACAAACTTCCCATCGTAAATGAAGGAAGCCGATAAATGAGAATAGATCTCCCCCATTAACAAATTTAATCGATTGAAGCAGTAAGGGCATTAAGGTACTACTACACTTTAGAATTTTAAAAAATTTTATTTTTTTTATTGTACTTTTTAACTCCTTATGACTTTAGAAAACACCTCCTAAAGTATTCATAAGTCATAACCATTTGTAAAAAATAAAAGTAAATTTTTCAAAAATTATTCAATAAATATAAAGAGCTATTGACAAATTAAGTAAGTCTTTAAGGGGATGGTGGGGTCCAGCTTTTTTGTTACGACCAGTGGTAACATTAGTGCTAATGTATGTAACAGTGTCTGACATAAAAAAGTGGAGGGGTTTCAATTTGCAAAAGAATTTTAGGTAATTTATGGATGGCCTCTAACGATACATATAAGGTTTAAACGCGTTTTTCTCAAAATAACGTTTTTTCAAAATGCGGACACTTTATCTCTGAATCTACTGAACCGATTTTAATAAATAATAAGTCGTTTTGTTTGTTAGCATGTCCTGTGTGTGAATTCACCAGAAAATAGTCAAAAAAATTTTAAAAAATATTTTTGCAGACTAGAAAAATACTGAAAAACATAGTGTATTTTTAAACAAATTATTGAAACATCTGCTATTTTTTTATTTTAGTCGATTTTTCATTATTAATGGTGGATTTCTATGCAAGACACCTTCCTTTTTAAAAAGCAGTTTAGATTTTTTGTTTCCGATTTGTCAATCTTGAGATAAACTGTCCGGAATTGGATAATTAACTTTTTGGAGTTTCGATCTGGATGCTGTCTGCAGATTATGATATTAAATAAAAATTAAAAACAAACCATTATTTTTAATCTCGAAATATGTACTAATATAGGCAAAAAAGTTTTTTTCATATTTATAATAAAAGACCTAAGAAAAAAAATTTTAAATTTGGTCTTTTAAGAGCCTTCTAAAGTGTAATAGTACCTTAAACATCTCCCAATGTGGTAGACATTCTTTTTCGATTAATCCAGTTTTTACTAATCCTATAAATGTAAAATGTTTCTTCCCGCATTAACGTCACGATTCCATCTTGTATTGCATGATGAGCAAAAAGTTGTCCGATTGCGGAATATTTTGACGCGAACATTACATTTGCTGCACATAACGGTAGTGTGGTGCTCATTGACGAAAACAACTGATAAATTTTTCGATTTACGCTGCTTTTCAATTAACCGCTTAACCACTGCACGCAAGGACATTCGTACATATCCTTTTAACCAAGGCGGAATGTCTGGCTGTCCTACTAAAATTAATTGTATTTTTTCTTTATCACCGATAATGTAATTTGCTAGTAAATCGGTTTCGCGATGAACTGACATATATTTATCCCATTTCAGACGAGCAACTTTTGGTTTTTCCAAAATGCGTTGATTGTCAAAAATTCTTAAAAAAAAAATTCTGTTGTTATTAATATTAAACGTGGATTATTTATTATTCACTTTATTTTTGAATTCTTCCGTTTTTAGCAAATCCTGATAATTTGACGAAACATTATCTTATTAAGAACTTGTCTCCTTCTATTCTGACCGGTGAGCCACCGAAATTAAACTCGAAGTTTCAAACAAATAGTAAACTATACACGGAAAAAATTTCGGGCGCGCAGCCTTACCTACGCGTACAATTGCAGTGCTAAATGAAAGAACGCCGATGATTTAAAATTTTATGCTTTTTTTCCCAAATTTTTCATTTTGATAATTTATTTTAAAAAATCTTGAAACTTTTTTTTAAAAAATTGGCTTTTAGAAATAAACTACAGTCAATAAACATTCTAAGAAAATGTTTTCTTTTAATTGTTTAATGTTTCGATCACCGTCAATATGAATCCGGGTTTTACAAAGCAGTACAAATAAATTGCTGTCTCTACATAGAAAACGTCCTTATATATTTAATTATCACTTCAATGTAAACGATAGTAAACAGACATAGGATGAGTGCGCTAATTATTGCTGCGGATGCTTAAATTTCTGCGCGTTTCTGAAATAAGTCATTATTTATCATTTAAGAAAATATTAATGTTTTAAAAATGTTGAAAAAATTATTTTGAACAATTCTTAATACAATTTTCTTTAAAGATATACAGTACGGTCGCGCTAATCCGACACCTGGTTAATCCGACACTCCTTGTAATCCGACAACAATCAAGATGACCGTTTTCCCCCACCTAAGATAAGTGGGGGGCGCGACGGATAACCTCAATATGTTAAAATAATTACACTTGCTAGTATTTATCGATTTATATATTAATATTTTATTATATAAAACAATTCAATTGTTATTTACTCATTTTATATAAATATGTAGTGCTCAAATAAACAAATTGAAATAAAGAATGATTATATAAAGATTATAACTATGGATGTACAAGTCTAAATGTCGGATTATAGAGTATATGTTGAAAAATTTGTCCGAAATACAGATGTTTGTTTAAGTACTCGGTAATCCGAGTAAGCTCTGGCACAACGTGGACATCTTTCCACGGTGGTGTGACGTCGACCGCAATTCCAGCAGTAATCATGGCGGATAGGGTAACGGCAGTTTTCGGCATTATGTCCCGGTCGATAACAGTTGAAACAACAGTAGGGCGGAGGATCGAGTGTTCTCAAGGTAGGAATAGCCAACAATCCTCCAAAGCCTATTCCTCTGGTCTTTGGCTTGAGTGGTGGTCCATCGTACTCTCTGACTCCATGCTCTTCTCCTTGGTCCTTTGGTTCGTTCGGTAGTCCCGGGTGAGGAATAGTCGACCTCTTGGCTTTTGGTGCTGATTCTTGGCTTTCAAAGTCTTCGCTCGTCCATTGTCTCGCACTTCTTTCTCGAATGGCCTTTCTTTGTTTAGCCTTAGCTTTTTCCAAAGCTATTGACGTCAGTGGTTCTTGATATCTGAGGAAACACTCTAATTCGTACTCTGCTAATCGACTTTCATAGAAGCTTAGGCTTCTTCCGACTCGTTTGGACCTCGATCTTGTGGCCAACGGTATGGTATCACCACCTCTACGTTCGGATTGTTCCTATTTTTGGACAAATCTGCTTGAAGAACTTCCTCCAATCCATCAATGTTACCCCAATTTTCTATTTGGACCACTGGCTCTCTTGATCCTCCTATGGCCTCTCCTAACAATTCCTCACGTGGCTCTGGTTGATCTATCAACGGCTCTTCTCCTTTCTCTTTTTTCGGCTGAGTCAACAACGGTTCCAATGGTAGTTGACGCTGTTCCTCGGTACTCGGGAAAGACAAATATGACGGTCTCTCCAAGACAACATCTCCGAGCCCGAACTCTGGGAAGATTTCATGGCGACTCCGATGTGTCTCTCGTCTCGTGACTCGCGGCGTCCCCATGACTGGCTGCCACTCGGCCCCCACAAAATCGTCTGATGGCCGATGACCTCCGTTAGATCTCCTCTTCGACTCTTTTCTCTGGCTGGACATATTTCTCTCCTTTCTTTTTCTCGGCTTCTCTTTCTGGCTCTGGCTCTCCTTTCGATCTAAAACAATTTGATCAATTAACAAAGGTACAACATATTTTACAAATTTGGGGCAGGTAAGTATGCTTTCAGATCAGTGATATGGACTTTAGGGACTCGCCGGCTCTTTTCAT